GGGGAAAGGGTCCAAGATACCAAACATGGATTATAAAAAGTTGTATTTAGGTGAAAGCAATTAAAAAGAATATGAATTTGAATGCTTAGACTCATGATAACAAAGCAAGAGGTACATAAGTGTAAAACAGTCAAAATTAAGACAGCTACAAATCACTGTGGGTTCTTACTGTGACGCAGAGTCTGACTCACTAGGTCAGAGAGGGGCTCCAGATTTTGTATTTCTATTTAAGATCCCACGCAGGACCAATTAATTAGGCAAGATTAAAGATAAGTGTAGAATTTTCCCCAACTCAATACAGGTACTAAGTCAAAGATAATCCTTAAATTGATGTTCTTATTGAAGAAGATATTCTTATTTATTTTTACAGAGAAGGGAAGGGAAGGAGAAGGAGGGGGAGAGAAACATCAACATGTGGTTGCCTCTCTCCTGCGCCCCCGACTGGGGACCTGGACCACAACCCAGGTGCATGCCCTGACTAGGAATCCAACCAGTGACCTTTAGGTTCACAGACTGGCACTCAATTTGCTGAGCCGCTCCGACCAGGGCAAAGATAGTCTTAAATTGGAAGAAATACATTCTCTCATATCCCACCACTTCCCTCCATCTCCACTCTCATCCTAATCTGAGTCCCCCTTGCTATCTCTTTCTCAGATGGTTATAACAGCCTCCTGAACGGTTTTTCTGCCTCCAGCCTGGCCACCTCGCGTTCATCCTCCATGTAAGCACTAAATAATCCTTCAGAAACTATGATATTCAGGTGCTTAAAGTATTCAGTAAGTCCACTACACACTGCCCCTGGGGCCTGTGTAGTGACCTAACCTCTGTGATGTCCTTCTCCACCCACCTAGTGCTTCTCTTTCAAATAACCTTCCTCATGAGCCTTTGTTCCTGCTGGTCCTTCTGTTTAAACCTCTTCCCTGGCTCTCCCTAGTCATCCTTTAGGATTTAGATTTATGCTACTTCCTCTTAGAAGACTTCCCTCCACCCCAGATGAGTCAGAGGCACCTTATTCCCTTTTAGTTCTTACTAGACACTGTTGCTTGTTTAACTCTTTCCTGCTCAGCTGTTAGGTCTGTGAGAACAGGAACCACGTTTACCTCGTTCTGCTCCTGTAACCAGTGCCTGACACACTGACTGGCACCTAGGACACACTTCAATCAGCTTCCATTTTAAATTCATCCACTAACATGCTGACATAGTATGGTGTCTCTTTTCCAGAACATGTGCTGATTCTGTCATTCTTTTTCAACGCATTCTTCCCATAAATAGCACACAGCATGACTGGCCAGACTGCAGCTTTCAACTTGATATATCCTATTTATCTGGAAGCTTGACATAATTTATAACTTAATTATAATTTGATATTCATGCAGCCAACAAATAATTAAGAACCAGTCGTAATGAAGGAAGGAAAACATAAACAAGTGCACGAGGAAACGCCGGAAGAGTGACTGAAGACTGAAAGGCAGAACACTGGAGATGAAAGTCACATAAACAAGTAATAACCATGAAATCAGTGTAAAAGTCAAAAGTATAAACAAGCCACTAAAGAAGAAAAGACACAGAAGCATATAATTTGGCTTGGATGGCTGAGATGAGAAAAGCCTTTCCAAAGAAGCCAGTGTCTCACAGGAGTAAAAATTTGCGAGATGGAAGGGAAAGTCATTTTCAGCAGAAAGGCAAAGTGAGCGAAAGCACAATTTGCAAGAGAACTGTGTATACGGAGTTACAGAAGTGTAGAAGCTGGTACTGGGGAGGTAGATGAGACTTCAGAGAAAAGGATGCGTTGTCCAGGGGAAGATGTTTGGGCTTTGCTCAACAGAAATAAGAACACTTAAAAATGTATTGTAAGCAGCAGAAAGGCATAACCAAATGAACAAGCAAGGCTACAAGAAGGAAGATCAGTGAATCGTGCAAGCAAAAAATGAGAAGAGGGAATGCAGTGCCCTGGGAAAGGAGGTAAACAGATGCAATGAAATCTTGTCAGGAACGGGACTTGGTGGGGGCGGTATGAGGAGTAGTCATTATCTCTGGTTGAGTGAGATTCTCGATAGCAAAGGTCACTAAAACAAAAACAAACCACCTGAATTACGACGTATAAAAAGTAACGCTTCCTTCCTTCCTAAAGGCGGGGGATGAGAAAAATGCAAAGTCAGTAATGGGTCTAAAAATGGTCATTCCTGGCCCCATTCTAATTTGAATGAATAATTTTACATTTATAACTACCAGTAACAAGTTCATCGCATATTTTAAAACTTTTAAAAAAATAAATATACTAACAGAGATCCATTCTTAGAGAATCTCAGAAGTTTCAGTGACATCAAATAATAACAGAAGTAGAAACACTGTCTACTGAGGACTCAGAAAGAGAAACACTCACTTGGGTAAATTTTACTGGTAAATTATAGAAGTAAAAGGTAAGTGGCGGGAGTAGACAAGGGAACTTATGGTCGAGTCACAGAAACAATCAAAAGGCATTTAGGAAACAGGTATAGAATAATTCTGGTGGGTGTCCACAAATGTCTTTCAGGATTTCGACACCAGTCAAGTGAAAGAGTTCCACCCAGTGATTAAGTAAGTTGATTGTACTCCAAGTAAATATCAGCTTAAATGAACTGAAGAATTGGATCTATAATTAGGACTTATTCCAAAATATTCAGCTTTCCCATCACTCTAATTCCTACTGTTCAACTTTCCTGGGTAATTAATATTGTGATTCTTTCATTTTTCTTAATACTCATCATAATGTAAAATTCAAATAATTTATGTTTGGTCTGGGGTACCTCCTAAATAAGTACTCTGTTCTTAATTTTAAAGTGCTAAGTTGAACATTCCACATCTAAAAATTTTTAATCCAATTAAAATTTGCTACTAATGATTTAGTGAACTTCAGAGAGAAAAATAAAATACACACTAGTCTTTCCACTCCTGTATTAGATATAAATGAAAATCATAAAATGAACACAGACTTGCCCTCCCCAAATGAAGGTGCACGTTCTTAGCATTGCTAGCCCTTATCAGTACTGCCTCTCCAGCCTTCCTCACTCTTTGAGTACTATAAGGAACCTGCTGGTTTCACTAGAAGCATTAAGGCTCAAGTAACACAACAATTAAAGTTTTGACTTTGTAGGTTAACTTTCAAGTTTCACACTAACCCCACCTCACCACCTTCTCTACATCCTTCAGCTTGAAAGAGTGAGCACAAACCTGGGGATTGTTAAAAAGTAAAAATTAAATCTATAATGTTATTTGAACTCAAAAAGTGTTGTAGTTTGTAAAATTGACAAGGTTCTTTTACTTTTTAATGTTTCCCCAAGTGCTTGTCAATTATATAAAGTTGTGAGTAATAAATGGCATAAAACGCAGTTCCAAAGTCTTTAATTTTTATTTTTCAGGGACTATATTACATGTTAAAACACTGCATACCAGAGTAAAACAAGCAGAAAAATACAGAAGTACGTTTTCCCACTTACTGGTCCTTAGCGGGAACATTTGAGATCTGGCTCCCCGGCCATGTCGTCAGTTTGGCTCAAATAAACTCTTAGAAAAATTCAAAAAAGAAAAGGCCTTTGCTGAGATTTTTCACATCGCTAATGTTGCCTCTTTTTAATCTGTTCTCACAAATACCTTACCTTACGCATTCGTTAGGGTGCTCCCATATGGTCTCACCCCAGATGTGCTCAGAGTGCGGGACAGACAGGGCGGCACAAGCTGCGGATGCCTGTCTGGTTAGTATAATAAATACCTGTCATCCAGCTCAGGACACAGTTAAGGGGATGGAGTTAGTGAAAATTCTAGTTAGCTGAGCATTTAATTATGTAGCTTCAAATAGTCTATCCAGGATTTTCTTCTCTCACTTTCTTAAGATCTTAAAATAAATACATACATACATACATAAAGATCTTCAAAAGTTAATCAAAAGGGGGTGATTTTTGGTTACAAGCTACTTACCAAACTGCCTGAGAGAAAACTTTTTCTATAATTTTTAAAAGAGAATAATGAATAATTTGGGTATCTCTTCAATAACTTCAACTAAGTCAAATTCACCCCCCCCCCAATTACGCTGTCAAAAGAATAGATTAAGATTCTTTGTAAGTGTACTTGTATGGTGTTAGTGTGAGGTGATTTTATTAGTTCCTGTTGTTAGGTAACAGTGTAACAAAACTTAGTGTAACAAAACAGTTTCTACTTGGTAACACAGGACATCTTTTACTCTATTTTCAACTGATATTTATGATTTACACACTATATGTAAATTGGGAGATAACAATGTTTCAAATATTTAACTGTGTGTACTCTATATAAAGAAAAAAGAAAATAGTGTCAAGTATAATTTTAAAATTTTAAAAATTTGTAAAAAAGAAGAAAGGAGAGGAAGGAAAGAGACAAAAAAGACTTTTTCTTTTGTCTTTGCACAAAAAACTTTAAAAATTTTCTTTTAAAAAAATTGAATTGAGTTTTGAATTGAGATTTCAAAAAGAAAAATATGCTCCTGTGTTTTATGGAAAATCACTTGTTTTAATAAAAGATAAAACACTTTGTGGCATATGAACCACAAGGTGGTGCTATAATTCCATGCTGGTACTAATATTTTAGAAGTTAATTGTAAGAGTTGTTCTTTGAAGTTCTTGATTTTTATACATTTTTTGTAATTGAAAATATAAAGCTGACTGGATTTGTTTTAGAATATTTGCTGAAACTAGTAAATGTGAGGCTTTATGTGAACTTTAAAAGTTCATAATTTTAAAGTCTAATTACTTAGCATGTACTAGAATATGAAAAATGCTTTCTTAAATGTTATTTCTACTTAGAATTTTATCTTAATGTTTTGTATGTGACAAATTTGAAGGTACACACATATAATATAAGTGGATGGAAAAATAATATACAATCAGATAAACAATAATTACAAAGAAAAAGTACTCTCCTTTTTCCTCACAAATAATGGAATCAATTTTCTTGAAGATTATCCAGGATGATTACTACATTTTTATTTATAAAGTTAAAAAATAATTCATTTAGTAATTTATAGTAAATTTCTTTTTTCTCTTGATTTAACTTCATCTAAGACATTTTCTCCAGAAAAATATATTACCCCCATCACTTAAAGAAACCCTGCCTGGCTGGTCTCACGTGCTACGGACGGAGCACTGAAGCCCTCGCCTCGTTCTTCGTTCTTCGCGGAACTTGCTGACCTGCTTCTAAACACCGAAGGGAAATCACACCCGCAGTTTCTCCATGTTCACTGAAAATGCGTTGCTGCTTTCTCGCTAAGCATTAAATCGTCGTATTTTTGTTTTATTTAATTTTCAATGAGCATTTTTAACTTTTCATTACGAACTACTCATCGGTGCAGACTGCAAAACGGTGTGTAGGACAGCCTCCTGGGTACAATATGCGAGTCCCAGTTGGAGTGTGTCCAACAGGATGTAAACTATGGTCCCGAGGCCTGTACTTTAAAAACACATTACTTAGCACACTGCCAACAAATGTCAACACAAAAACACGGTGCTATAATGACTTCACTCTGTAAAAGAAATGTACTGGCACAGGCGTTTTCCTAGGAAAAGTAAAACAGAAAAACCATACAATCGTAGCACAAAAATATTTAAGCATTTATTCAATACTGAATGAAAAAGCTCATCTACTAAATGGAATTAAGATTCTTAATAAAAATATTGTAGTATATTAAAATTTATAGAGAATTCTTAAAGTATACAACATCTATAGTAGCCACCATCCTGGAAAAGTTCATGTAGAAAAATTCTATAATTGGTGATTTGAACCTTTTAGTAATTCAGCAGTTTCTTCAAACCTGAAAAGTAATAAATAAGTGATACATTAAGTAAATAAATATCATGAGGCATAGGTTTTAAGTGGCTAAAATTATACTTTTGAGCCTAAAATAAATTTCAATATTTATCTTATTTATAGGTGTAATTACTGTTAATAAATTAAGTATACCATAGCCAGAAGGGAGGAATAGCAATTAGAGTCCATTAATAGTCTTCATTTCTTGGAGCACAAGTTATTTCAGTACTTCTCAAATTTCAAAAAACATTAGTTTTTAAAGTAGTAGGCTACCTAGTAACTTAAATATAATAATTTCACATTTCCTTTCAACTGATCTTTAAATGTAAGTATGATTTTTAGTATTACCTCACTGACAACTTACTGAAAAATGCTAGCAATACTTTAACAATGTTTAAAATATCTCCAAACCATCCATCTACACATATTATTTAATATTTTGACAAATCAATTATCAAAAAGAGATAATCTTCTTGATTAACTACCAACCCAAAACATCTCTGCACCCTTTAATCCACAATTAATTCCATTAGTGATGTTTTACATCCCTGGCTGGAAACCCAAACAGTGACTCGTCTGACACACACATAACTGTAGGTGGATTTATTATCCACTTGAGTCCTGAAGGAAATTCCACACCTGATCGAGAGACCTTTAGGGTCTGAAACACATATGCACATTCTATATACACTGTAACCCAGTACAATTCTCCATAGAGAAATGAACTGCTGCTGCCCCTTTCTGTTACTTACATTTTTTTCATCCTTTCCATTTTCTGGATTGTTGTTTCCTTTAATTTAAAAATCAACAAATTTAGGCAATTTCTCCAAGTAAACCCATCATCAAAGACAGGCCACGAACATATAAAACACAGTCTGAAACCTTACATCAAGTACTATTTACTTATCACAAAGAATTTTTATGGGAGATTAAGATTTACACAGTTTCACTACTTTTCTTGCCAATGAGATCTACAACTAAATCTGATGCTTGCTTGTTCTCCTGACCATAGAAAGGAAATCCTCTAAGCAGTTGTCAGTTTTTCTTACCTCTGAAATATCTTTCAAGCCACAGTAATTAACAACTGAGGTTCTGGGAGTTGAGTCCATTGATACTGTACTATAACCAGAGGACAGAGGGACGCTTGTTCCCTTTTCTTTGCTTTTTCTCTCTGTGGAGAAATTAATTTTTAGGTTATCTTTTCTTTTCACAGTGGAGTTCTAAAAATTGTATGTGTATATATGAAAGAAAAGCAAATATTGTAATATAAAATTGTTACTGGTATACAGATAGATGAATATTTAATAGTCTCCTAGGATAATGACTTACATATAAAGACCTAGATGTTAAAAATTGGCCAATAATTACAAAAGGCAATATTATCTTTATCATCATAGCCACCAATTATTTGAATCAATAGGCAAGTTAATTAATTTTAAAATATAAACTACTAACTTGTGGCAAATCTTCCCCACCACTGAATCAACTACGGAACATCACAGATAAAGTGTATGCCTGTCAAATCAATCAACAGGCTTGAGGACCATTTGGCTGCAAAAACATGCCCGCCCCCCACCCCGAAAAAAAAAAGAAAACTCCTTTAACAGTTTTATTTTAAGCCAACACAGACAACCTCAATTAGGGAACAAAGTATTGTCACATGAGGATTGAAAACAACTAAAAATACTTTTACATTCCTTTTACTTTCATCTCTCCTACAACCAGGGTCTTTTGTCTACTTCTCTTGCCTATTTGCTCCATTCCTCTACTTGCTCATCAGCATGAACTTGGATAAAACGCCCAGCCCAGGCTCAACATCATTTGAAGTTACTATCCTTGGTGTCCTGATTCCAAATTTCCAAGGGAGACAAAATGATTTGGCTCAATGCCTTTCGTATCGGTGTTCCCAAGATGAAGTGTCCACTCTCGAGCTCAGGGGTCAAGACCACATGGCACAACTTTGAAGATGAGCTACATCCTACTGGTTTAGCAACTGTAGGCTTGTAAAGGTTACTGACCAATGCATTTTCTTCTCTAACACATATTATTTACATATGAAAAGCTACTACTTAAGTTTAAGTTAGAAACTTGGAGGACCATTTTTATTACTTTATAGCATTTAGTAATTAAATGGGTAAAAACAACTGTAACAGTTTGCAATTTTGTACACTAGAATTTACTCAGCCACTGTGTCACGTAAAATATGTAAGGTGGCTTCTTCAGCTGTCTTTGGCTTCAGTAGTTTGTAAGTTCAATATTTTCTTTGTTCCTAGGAGCTCTGCAGTTTCTAAAGTGTAAGTTTTGGGAATATTAAAATTGCCAAATACCTACAAAAAGTATTTTCCTAAACTCCTAACTGTACCACCAGTACTAATACTACAAGAACTTACCAAGTGTGAGAATATCCATGTCACTACTAGAGGAATAATCTTCATTCATTTCATTATATTCTATATAGTCATCATTCTGGAATAATATAGTTTAGAATTTAGAATGAAAAGAATAATGTTATTATTTCATATTATTACTGCTAAGCATAAAATATAAAGATGACATATAAGTGTTTAAATATTTTTAAGTATTTTAGTTACAGGCAACACATAAATATTTCTATGTATAAGAAATCCTAAAAATGTGAAATCAGACAGCAACCTTCTTAAATCTAATTTTACTTTTTATGAAGGAAAGATAGGCCAAGACCAGAAACTGAAATCTGAGTAAATCAAGAAACAATTTCTCAGATTTAATAAGGCAATGGAAAATCTGGTGATTATAAAATTTACAAGTTGGATGAAGGAAATAAATGGGAGGAGGAAGTTCTAATTTTAATTTTTCCTCTCCTGCCCACTTTTTCTTCACCCTGCAAAACAAGCCATTTGTGCTATCACGGGACATAAAATAATTTCATGGCCATGACAACAGCATAAAATAGGTTGTGTCTAAACAGGACTCCATCCCCCCAAGCATTTTCCCATTATCTCGACATTCTTTGATTCAGCATTTCCAAAGGAATACTCACCCCACAGTAAAAAGAAACTTCACTGTAACTGAGATGTTCTACACACGTGAACAAAAGAAAATACCTTTCTGGACAGAAGCAGTTCGGTCTCAAGAAGAGTGACACGACTGAGAAGATTAGTCCAGGTTTTCTCGTCTACCATCACTTTTCCTTTCATTTTTTCTTCCAAAGAGTCTAATCTGCTCTCTAGCTGAGTCAGTTTCTTAAGCTTTTCTTGGCACTCAGCAAGCATACTCTGCAGTGCAGTAATCTCAGGATTAACGTTTATATCCTGCAATGATTAGAAAGGTTAGAAATATTACACACACAGAAATTCCTTTAGAAGTCAATGTATTCCCATTTCCAAGGTGCCACTGCAATAGTTAAAACAGGCAATACAACACGCGGGTTGAGACTGCTGCCTGAGAGGCAGCCTGTCTGGGCACTTATACTAGCTCGTCGAACATGTATGACCTCAATGCTTCAATTTCCTTATTGAAAAAAAACAAAACAGTTCCTACTTCATATGGTTCTTGTGAGGACTGAATAAATTAATTTTCATAAGGCTCTTTAGAACAACACTGGGTAGGACAATAAAACCGTCACTAACTAGCTTCTTGTAACAACACCTAGCGCAAAGCTGAGAGGAAATGACCAAGAAATGACAGCGCATTAAAACTGTTCAGTTTGCTGTGAATAGGAAATAAACCTAATGGCCATCTGGTAGTTTTCATAAATACCAACTGTATACTAAGATGTGTAAAGGTCACAGGCAAAAGAAAGATAGAAAAAAGAGTTTTAGCAGAAGCAAGAGCAGACACTCTAACAGGGTCTGCGGCAATACAGTAATAGAAAAGATTCTCTAAGAGAGAGGAGAAAAGGACACCAAAGGCCCAAAAATTAAAATGAAAAGGCAGTAGTGTACCAATTATTTCCATTCATCAGTACAGGAAGGTGAGAGAGACCCTTCATTGTAATAAGTATATCTCTGAATCTTATTACACTGTAAATTCCTTGAAGGCAAGTACTATGTCTTATTCATCTCATCACCTGTAACACCTAGCCCAGTACCCTAACTATAAGCAGTAAGTAATATCTGTCAAGTTATTATCAGTAAGACTTACTGATTCTTAATGATAAAAAAAACAATGTGTCATGATTAATAATTCAAAAGACTAGAAATATTCTAAAGATTAGATGCTGAAGCAATTAGGTACCACCCAGTAACAAACACTGGCAGTTGTTAAGGAAGTCCAGAATTCTTACTTGTTGCTCAGACTTGATTTCAGGGACCTTTTCTTCAGGATCCTTCATTTCGGTGTCCTTTATCTCACACACAGCAAATGCGTCGTTTACATCTGTCACTGTGCTTGACGCGTCCTCAGGAATGTTCACACCATCTTCACTATAGAGGTGGCGGATCACTACAGCCTTCTTCTGCGTGGAGAAATGTGCCACAGCTGCTTCCAAGTTTCCCCGACACAGTCGTTTTAAGCATACACAGTGCAACTTTGCCCAAGAACATTTATCTTCCCTTTACCATTTATAAAGGCTTACATGCCACATATAATGTATGTATCAAGTATTAATTGAGCTATTCATATTTTATAGCTTAATATTTATAGCTTAAATATAGCTTAATATTTCGTCATAATATTTTATGATGAAATTATGGTCATAATCTTTTACAGTATTTTTTAGATTAGAAAAAGTTTTGAAATATCTCTTCAGTGATGTCTGGGATTTGTTTCAAACTGTTTCGGATTTGGGGAAAGATGTAGGGAAACATGGTTGCAGTAAAGATGAAACAAAATCAGCAAAGAGTTGATAAGATGCTGAAACTGGGAATGAGTGCTTTTGTAAATATTAAAGCTATTCCATTTTAAATATTTTAAAATTATTTTAAAAATAATTTCATCATAAAAAGGTTACCACATAAATCACATATAAATAACCAAGAACTGGCTCTGTGAATAAAACTCATTACAATTTTTAAAAATTTCTGTTAAATCACAAAACATCAAACTCTCAGCTAACAATTCACACATAATAATGCCAAAGGGAAAGTCCTGAGGGTAAGGACCAGGTCAAACTGTGCCTTTGCAGAGGATTCATTCCGCCACAGGTGCTCAAAGCAGGTAAGGGCAGGAAAGATATCCATCAAGATATTAAAACACTAACCCCAAAACCAGATTATAGGTTTGGGAACTATCAATCACTGGATACTTCATATTCCTGATACAGAAGTATGAAGACAGGTAAATGAATCATCATAATCTATAACTAATGGCATACTCTTTCTATGTTCCCATGTTTTAGGAAGACTGAATACATAAAGAGGAGAAAATGTTCACGAGCACATAATATAACCTTCCTAAATCGTTGTTTTCTATGTGGGGAAAAAATGCAGAAGTAGGAATTAAAAATATAAAGAGAAAGTTCAACTGGACATTTCTACCCTCTTCTAACTTTTGGAATAGTCCCCAGAGAGCATATGGTATGCGTTGTTAAAAAACACATAGTACAACATTTAGTCGGAATGTCATACCAGCTGCTAGTCAGAAAAGTGAACCTGGACATTCGACTAACTGGGCGGTAACTCTTAGCACCATGACCACTCTCTGCACCTTCCCACCTTTCCCGAAGTCAGAAACCTGCCGGTGATGTCAATGCCGACAGGTTCCGTAGACGTCTTCTCGCTGCTTGAAGAAGGTTCTGACTTAATGAAATTGACTTTTTTCCTTTGTTGTGATGGAGGCTAAAAAAAAGTGTTAAGATGTAAAACATTTTGTGTGAAAGCATGATGTTTATTTAAATTCTGTTATTTCAATTTTTGTATATGAAATACGACTATAAAACCATGAGAGTCTGTAAAACTGTATGTCTTTTTGAAAACTAAGAAGTGATAAAAAATGTCCTCTTTGTTGGCTTAGGACTAGTAGCTCCAAGTTTCAAATGTGTAAATACAAGTCACTAGTGTTTAAAGCAAACACCGGGTATTACCAAGTTACACAAGCCTGTGAATAATGCAGTAATTATACTGTGTATTAATTTGCTATCGAGAGTATTTGATTTTATACATTAAACTACTGGCCACTTAGCATAAGTTAAAATCTATTAAGAAAATTACCTTCTCAATACTACTCAACTCCTTGTGCTTTTTTATCACACAATTCAAAATATCACAAATAATCTGGATTTTCCATTCTGCAAATCCACATTGGAGAAACTGCTTTTTCGTCAAGATTGGTTTATAATTAAATTGATCACGAAGAAGCTGTAAAGAGGGAATAGATCAAGAAAAACTGGGAACAATTTCTTTCAAAAATCCAAAATAACACTGGCCACCTGCTTAGGATGGTCTTTTATTTAAAAGGTACTGAAGAGGTTTATAGAAATGGTAAAAGTCATGACCAGGTAGGAGAGGAATCTAGGTGAAAACAGGTAGCTTTGATGTATCCAAGAATAGATGGCTGTCCAGAGAAATGGAAAAATAGAGCCAATGATCAAAAAGTTCAAATATCCTCATAGGTACTAGAAATACTCCTTAGCTCACTACAAAATAAAAAATACCATACCAGATATGTCTGCAAATCATAGTTCTATTTGTTTATAATTCTTCCACTACATGAGTTTTTTCAGACAAGTCAGTAGGCCTCTGAGTTTTAATTTCTCATTTGTAAAATGAGAGTAATAGATGAAATCAGTAATTTTTCAAACCTAATCTTGAACTCTATGATTTCTTAGAAGTACTTCTTAGACTTCCATAGAAGTTTTCTGGGTGAAAGGCAAAGAAAGGAAAGATTAAACAGAGGCCCTACACGTAAAATCTCCCATTGCATCAAATGCAACTTTCTACTCAAAGAAGAAAAGATTGGACTTGATAAATGAGTTTCACCATTTTTGAAAAAGTGTAAGAAAACCTGAGTACTTGAATAAAAAGTAATGATAATAAGTAGGATTTAAAAAAATCAAATATGAGATTAAGTTCAGTGTACATAATACAAGTGGAAATGCTAAGTTAGATGTAAGACATGGTTCCAGATCACAAGGAATACAAAATCCCAGTACAAGCTGTAGTTCATTCTCACAAACAACTAAATTAACTTATAATCCTACGAACTACAATCACTACACAATAAAACCACATTTCTCTCTAACTTCTGCCAGCATACCAAATTTTACTAAAATTTGATATAAAAAAGGGCAAATTATAGCTGATGATCAATGTACCAGCTTTTTTAATAGAGTGATGTTTGATATTTAATCGAGCATGAAACACGAACTTCAGCTACATGTTCATGGCATTAGGCACGGCATTTAAATGAGGTGAATGTGTATGAAAGTGATCTGTCAAGTATACACACTGTGTATATATTTAAGAAGGTATTATAAAACATTAATCTTAAAAAATCAATAACTTCTAAAACAAGTATTGCCCCACAAACTTAAAAATACCTTATAGACAGTGTCTATAAAGCGCAAGTCATTCTTTGCTGTGAGCTCTGCGTTGGACTCCATCAGAAGTTCCGCTACGTAAGATGAATATGAGGTCAGGGAATAGCTGATGATGGGCAAACATGCTGCCGTCTCTCCTTTTATCAAACTGTTGGGGGGGAAATATTTTCAGTGAGCATAATTCCATAAAATTGGATAATCAGGGAAATATAAGAGTTATTGTCAATAATTTATAATTTACCACTATAGCCATAATGATTAAGTGATGCACAAGACCCTTCAGATTATATCCCCTGCACTACACCAATCTAGCCAAATTATGATGAAATTCTATTATTTATCAGCTCAAACACTTACGATAGCTCTTTAGTACCAACAAAAATCTAGTACATTTTCTCCTAATAAAACAAACGTACCATCTTACAGTGCTCAGGTATACTTTACACTCATGCACACACTTGTTACCTTACCTCATATGCTTTTTTTTTACCACAAACTGCAAAGGGAAAATATTATGAGTTCTAAGTTATAGAGGGAAACAGGGTTGGGATACTGTAAGTAGCTGATCAGTAGCTTCCAAGTGCACCAGGCTCCTTTGAAATCTGTACTTTATTTCAGATTATGCTAATTCCTTCAGTCTAGAAAGGTATTCCACTTTTCTCTGCCTATTATTCATTCTTCGCACATCACTTCTCAGGTCTCGAGCTTTCCATGACGCCATCCTCGTCGTTCTGATCCATCTTTCTCTCTCCCAGAATGACTCTCAGGCTATTCAGTGTCTGATGCCTCATGATCGGCCTTGCACTATTTTGTAATTGCCTACACATATGAATCTCATTTTCTCCATGTGAAGTTCCTCCAGATTCTCCCACAACTAATTGAGATTGGTTCAATTAGCCAGTTATATTTGTTCAACTGGAGTAATAATGCACAGATAGAACATTTTTTTCCACAAAATTCAAGATGTAAACAAATTTTCCTATTCCCACTCCATTTTATTTTTCTGGTAAGACAGAGAACAAGTATATGATGATAGCATTAGAATTTGTTTTTCAGGACAAATATAAATTGTTTCTATTTTATGTTAATCGGTACAATAATATTCGACCTAATGAGAAGACTGCTGAGTCTTCTTTTATGAACAGAAGACTGCTCAGTCAGCAAAATCTGTCCCATTTGATGCACGTTATGATTAGAAGATCGCCAGGCCTGCATATAACATCTCATATAAAACAACCTCAGAAATCTTGGTCATCTCTCTTCTAATAGGGACTCTGATTAGCAATGGTAAGAAAAACAGAGCAGAGGTGGAAGTGGGCTGCTGGATGCGTAGGCCCATGGAAAGGTGAATCCAGAGGGTATCGGAGGGTCAAAACTGCCACCATGACTGTGGGCAAGAGCAGCAAGATGCTGCAGCACATCAACTACAGGATTAAGTGCATCCTGCAAGACTGTTGTATCTTCACTGGCACCTTCAAGGCTTTCGACAAACATACGAATCGATCCTATGTGATTGTTACAAATTCAGGAAGATCAAGCCAAGGAGCTTAAAACAAGCAGAAAGGGAAGAGAGTCTTTGGTCTGGTGCTGCTTCTAGGGGAGAACCTGGTCTCAATGACCAGAGAGGGACCTACCCACAAAAATACGGGCATCCGACGGCTACTTGCTGGAGTGGCTGAGGGCCCAGGGATCAGCAGAGCTGCTGCAGCCAGAGGAATCCCAGCTGGTGTTCCCATGCCCCAGGCCCCTGCAGGGCTTGCTGGGCCAGTGTGTGGGGTTGGTGGGCCCTCCCGACAGCTGATGACTCCACAAGGAAGAGGCACGATGGCGGCTGCTGCCACAGCCAGCATTGCAGGGGCCCCAACCCAGTACCCACCAGGCTGTGGGGGGGCCTCCCCCACCTAAAGGCTGAGGGCGCCCCAGGTATGATGGGCCCACCTGCTACTTTGAGGCCTCCCATGGGTGCCCCAATCGGGATGCCCCCTGGACGAGGAACTCCACTGAACATGCCCCCTCCAGGAATGCGGCTCCCTCCCCGGGGAACGTGAGGCCTTCTTCAACCCTTGGTCACGGAGTTATGAAAGTAGCTCCACAGAGGTATGGACCGGTTCCACAGAGCCACGTTACCACAGACCTGTTCGTTCCTTGCTCCGCTGTGCTGCAGTCTCGCCGTTTTTCTGCAAGTTTGACTTCTTACGGGTTGTCTGGTGTCCCTTTCAGGGCCCCACCCCCGGGAATGCACCCACCAAGGCCCTAGAGACTCAGCCTGGCCTCCTCGGCTCCCTGCTTGTTTCCCCAAGGGCTGTACATAGTCCTTTTACTGCCTGTGACCTATAAAATGAATGTACAGTGAACTCTGAATAGCCTCTTTAAAAAACACAAACGGTAAAAAAAACCAAACCAGGTATTATAAATGGCACACTAAAACAAAAAACGAAGAAGAAATTTTAAAATGGAAAAAAGTAGAAAGAATCAACATACATGTGCTGGGGCTGTGTCAGGCGGCAATCGGAAGGAACAGCAGTTACCTATCTCAACAGGCTACCACTATGTTATGGAACAATCTAGAAACTATTGTTCTTGACATGACCGTGTGGTTTTTATCCTTTATTTTGTTGATGTGGTGAATCACATTTATTGATTTGTGAAAGTTGTACCAACCTTGCACTCCCGGAAGAAATCCCACTTGGTCGTGGTGTGTGATCTTCTCGATGCATTGCTGTATTTGGTTTGCTAACATTTTGTTGAGTATTTTAGCGTGTATGTTCACCAGGGACACTGGCCTATAATTTTCTTTCTTTATAGTGTATCTTTATCTCATTTTGGAATTAGGATAATGATGGCCTCAGAAAATGAGTTTGGGAGCCTTCCTTCCTCCTGAATTTTAGAAAATAGTTTGAGAAGGACAGAGGTGTTACTTCTCAGAGTGCTTGATAAAATCCACCTATGAAGCCAAACTGATTCAGGAGTTTGTTTGTTTGGAGGCTTTTGAGTACTTCTTCAATTTCACTAGGTATAATCTGTCTATTCAGATTCTCTGATTCTTCTTGATTGTTTTGGAAGATTGCGTGTTTCTAGGAATTCATCCATTTCGTCCAGGTTGTCCAGTTTGTTGGCATATAGTTGTTCACAATATTTTCTTACAGTCCTTTGCATTTCTTTGGTGTCAGTTGTTATTTTTCCTTTCATTTCTGATTTCATTTATTGGGTCCTTTTTTTTCCTTGATGAGTCTGGTTAAAGGTTTGTCAGTTTTGTTTATTAATTCAAAGAACCTGCTCTCAATAAGTGTAGAAAAAGCATTTGATAAAATATAGCACCCATTTATGATAAAAACTCTCAGCAAAGTGGGACTAGAGGGAACAAACCTGAACATAGTAAAGACCACATATGACAAACCTGCTGACAGCATTATACTCAAGGGGCAAAAACTACAAGTATAACCCTAAAGATCGGGAGCAAGACAGGGATGTCTGCTCTCACCTCTCTTATTCAACATAATACTGGAAGTCCTAGCCACAGCAATCAGATAAGAAGAAGAAATAAAAGGCATCTGAATTGGACAGGAAGTAGTAAAATTATGTTTAGTTGCAGATGACACGATATTGTACATAGAGGACCCCAAAGATTCTACCAAGAAACTACTAGAAATGATAAATGAATTCAGCAAAGTAGCAGGATATAAAACTAATATCCAGAAATCAGTTGTAAGCCAATAGAAAAGTAACAGAAAGGGAAATTAAGAAAATAATCCCACTGACAATTGCTTCAAAAAGAATAAAATACCTAGGAATAAACCTAACCAAGGATGTAAAAGACCTACACTGAGAAAAATCATAAGACACGGAAAAAAGAAATTGAAGAAGACACAAATAAGTGGAAGCACATACCATGTTCATGCATAGGAAGAATTAACATCATTAAAATGTCCATAATACCCAAAGCAATCTATGGATTCAACACAATTCTTAGCAAGATTCTAATGACATATTTCACAGAACTAGAACTAATATTTCAAAAATTATATAAAACCCAAAAATCTCCTGCATAGCAACAGTGATTCTGAGAAAAAAGAACAAAGTTAGAGGAATCAGGCTACCTAATACCAAACTATACAATAAGGCCACAGTAATCAAAACAGGATGGTACTGACATAAAAATAGACACATAGATCAATGAACTGAACAACAGAAATCCAGAAATAAACCCACACCTTTACAGTCAATTAATATCTGACAGAGGAAGCAAGCACATACAATGGGTAAAGATAGTTTATTCAATAAACAGTGATGGACAACTTGGACAATGTACAGAAAAATAAAACTAGACCACCTTCTTACACCACGCATAAGAATAAATTCAAAATGGATCAAAGATTAGATGTTAGGCCCAAAACCATAAAAATCCCAGAAGAAAACATAGGCAGCAAAATCTCAGACACTGTCAGTAGCAATTTTTTTAATCAGATCTATCTCCCAAAACAAGGGAAACAAAAGAAAAAATAAACAAATGGGACTTACATCAAATTAAAAAGTTTTTTCACAGCAAAGGACATCATCAACAAAATAAAAAGACAACCCACAGAATGGGAGAACATATTCCCCAATACATCTGATAAGGGGTCAATGTCCGAAATTTATAAAGTACTTACAAAACAACACCAAAAAAAAATCCTAACCCAATTAAAAAATGGGCAAAGGACCTAAATAGACACTTCTCCAAAAGGACATACAAATGGCCCATAGACATATGAAAAGATGTTCAATGTAACTAATCATCAGAGCAATGCAAATTAAAACAACAATGAGATACTACCTCACACCTGATTTATTGATGGTTGTCATCAATGAATCAATAAACAACAAATGATGGTGAGAATGTGGAGAAAGGGGAACCCTTTTGCACTGTTAGTGGGAACGCAGACTGGTGCAACCACTGTGGAAAGCAGTATGGGGATACCTCAAAAAATTAAAATTAGAACAGCCTTTTGATGCAGCAATCCCATTTCTGGGATTATATCCAGTGGACCCCAAAACACTAATTCAAAAGAACATAAGCACTACTATGTTCATTGCAGCACTGTTTACAGTTGCCAAGATATGGAAGCAACCCAAGTTTCCATCAGTAGATGAGTGGACAAAACAAGTATGGGACATTTATACAATGGAATATTACTCAGTCATTAAAAAAGAAGAAAATTTTACCTTTGCGACAATATGGATGGACTTGGAGAACATTATGCTAAGTGAAATAAGCCAGTCAGAGAAAGACAAATACCATATGATTTCACTCATATGTGTAATCTAATAGACCAACTGAACTAACAAGGAAAATGGGAACAGATTCATAAATGGAAAGCAGATGACAGCTAGTGGAGCATTAGAAGGATTAAGCAAAAAGGAATAAGGACTCCTGGACATGGACAACAGCGGGTGATTGCTGGGCAGACCGGGATATAAGGGGACGAAATGGTAATGGAAAAAATACAATAAAGATTTTTAAAAGTAAAGAAAAGAAAATCAATTTTCTAAAATATTAAAAAATAAAAATTATTACTCTTAATGACACTCAAGTCAATAAGAAAATCAAATGTTTAAACAGTGTACTCAGAAGAAGGGAAAATAATTGGTATCTTAGAATTATTCCTATACAAAATGTCCTTTAAAATGTTGATGGTTAATGGGGTAAGAAAACAACTTGGCTACTCAAACTGGTTAAGTCCTGGCAAGACTACACGGTAGACATTTTCCTGTTTTGAGGAACCAACCGATGATTGACACATGCTATGGAAGCACACTATGGAATACTTTTTGCTTCTCATATATGATGTCTATAGTATCAGCCACTAGAACTCAACTTTCTCCTTGCTCTCCTCACTATCCTTTCATCTGCAGTCGTCTCTTGGTGTTAACTCTCCCTGTATGCCATCAGAACATCCATTTTTATGTATAAAGCTCATTACTCCAGCTTTCTACCTGGTTGGTTTAACTCTATTACTTGAATAAGTACCTAATCTGGACTTGTCCCTTGACACTCATTGCATAAATATCTAAGTAGCTTCTAATATGTGCCAGGCATCAGTCTTTTCCAGATGTGGGATCACTACAGTGAAAAGACTAAGTACTAGATGTTAACTTGCCTCCCAGAGAGGGAATATTTCATCGATGAATAATCCCAGGTAAAAAGGAAAAAGTATTAGGGGGTAGCAGATGGCGAGAATACTATAATACATGGGTATGAATAGAGAAGAAATGTGTGTTACTACATTCCATAAAAGAAAGTAAGTCATATTTGGAAAATGGAAACTAAAGTGAAACATTCAAAGTGCGGTCTGTAATATGAGTTAGCCTAATCATCTTCAGACAAGGTATAAATTGCCATAAGAAATCTATTAAGTAGAATCTTCCAAATCCTGAAGAAATACTATTCAACTGAATGTGAGAGGGGGGGGTGAGTTATATAACTAACGAATTAATTATATTTCTATGACTTTAAAAGTTGTACACTCAAGTAGTGTATGCTGCTACTTCTAAAAGGTATTTTAAATCTCTAGAGTTGGACTTTTTGTGAAATCAATGTCTTTATTTAGATATACCTTTATTTAGATATATCCCATGTCAAATATTATATCAAGTCATTACCATAAAGATTACGAATTGAGTTTAATATTATAACTTACCCTACACAATCCACCTCTTGAGGATAACTTAGCAAACGAAGCACTTGTTCTAGGTTCCGTAAGCTTCTCTTTAAGTCACCTGTTGCCATTATTTAACATTACGTTCAGCTACTATTTCACCTAAAAATAAAAACCCATGAAACCCTGGTTAAGTCTGTATACTTTTGAAGCTTTTCTATTCTATCTTGTCATATCTCCTATGGGCACTTACCATATTTATCTTTTCTTAGCAATTTCTTCCCTAACTTATCTTCCCTACTTAGGGTCTAATGCTGCCTAGTATCTACCTTACATTCCTGAATATAAGGTGTGCTTTTGCCAATATTTTTCCTTATAAAAAAAGTTTGCCTTATGTTCATGCTCTTATAATGTGTCTCACATATGATACTCTCCCAGATAGTTTATTTTGAACAAAGTACCATTTGGGAATACACATCGACTCAAAATAATATGCAACAATGACTATTTTGGAGGCTTATAAAGGCTACATTAAAAAAAATCAGTAAAAAATGAAGACAAATTTATCACAGATATAGTCATTATTCCCAGGGCTCTGACCTCACAGTTACCAATAAAATGCTTTGCTTAAAAAAAAAGATTAAAAATCATATATACTAACCCGAACATACAGAATTAGCAGGATTCCACATGACAGAAGAGGTATCAACAAAATTTTGGAAGATGAATGAGTGATAACCAACCTGACAGAACAGAGATGGGCCAGTCCTATCTGTCTATTTAGGAGAAAACCATTAGAAGCAAGATAGGTTCAGAAACAAGGAGCCCCTTATAGTTCTGTGAGGAGTGAGGCCAGGGGTGCTAAAACAGAATGAGCACTGGCAAGTTCACACAAAGAGCTGCTAAATCCTAGATTTTTACTTTCCTTCCTCTCTCTGATACATAACTTGCTCAGCTAAACAACTACCTCCCTGCTTCTCTAGGTTTAGTTTATAAAGTTGTTTTCCATGTATATATCAATTAATTCTTATCCTTTTACGCATATCTACTGGAACTGAACAATTAAGCAAATGGATGGCTGAACAGTAAGAGCCAGGTGTCTCACTGCTGGAGTGAGAATTCACAGATAAGGCAAGGGAGGAGACTAACGGATCAGTTAGAGACACCAGTATGAACTCATGTTTAGCTTCATATAGATACACACAGTTTCATATTGAAATATTTATAGATGTGTAGATATCGACAGCTTAGCATAGACACATATATTTCCTTTCTCTGCCAGCTGAAAGTGACTAAAGGCATCGACACCCCAGTAGCAAAGAGCACACATGGCATCCAGATCTTGGTTGTAATGCTATTCTCCAATAAAAGGAACCAGGGGTTCCTGGAGAAACGGCCAGTTCTAGGGCTGGGGCAGGAAATATGCAAGATGAACCAATACTGAGGTCCAGAAAGTAAGGAAGAACACAAAAAACAAACAAACTAATCTGACATCGATGGGGGTATGTGGAAAAGGACAGAGAAACAAATGAAATAGCTATCTCCTAATGGGCAAAGCTAAAGCAATTTGAAAAAAAATTAATAAAATAGTATCAAATTGTTATCCAAAGTCTAAAACAAGACAAAAAATTAGTATAATTCAATACATGGACAAATAAAGAAAAAAATCTTATAATCATTTCAATACTTGTAGAATAGGCATTTGATAAAATTCAACAGTCATTCATGGTATAATTCTTACGACATTAGCAGTGGAAGAGAACTGCCTGCCCTCAATAAAGGTTATCTACAAAAATCTCTTGCAAACATTATACTTAATAGTGAAATATTAAATACTTTCTTCCTGAGATTGGGAATGAGGAAGCTTACCCAGTCTCACTATTTCTATTCAACACTGTACTAGAGGTGGTAGATAGTACAGAAGTGCAAGAAGAAACAAAAGGGATAAAGACTAAAAAAGAAGAAATAAAAGTCATTAATCATAGATAACATAATTGTGTATAAAAAAGCTAAAGAAATAAGTAAATTTCTATGGTTGCTGGATAGAAGGCCAATATACAAAAACCACTGTATTTCCTGTATTCTCCAAACATTTAGAAAATGTTTTAAAATTATATATGTATAGATAGGAGACCTTTCTGCATAGTGTGTCCCACTCAGAGATGCACAGGACCCACGCCCATAGATAGGTTCTCCCGTGGGGAATCAGGCCTGCATTGTACCTTGACTGCTATGAAACTTGCTTTTGCTAAAACTCCCTCACCCTGAATTGAGGCAGAAAACATTTACTGCATATCTTTACAGTAACTTTTAAAATCCATGCTAAACCTACTAAGGATGAGTGTAATCAATTCAACCACTTTTCCCTTTGCATTTGCAAATATCCTTCTTCTGTGATGTGATTAGCAGCATCCTCACCTTTGTTTTCTGTAAAAGGTAATGACCTAATGGGAACCTGTATATAGCAAATGAAGACCATGATGCAATGTGCCCAGAAAAGCAATAAAAGCTTGTCAAGGCAAGGGCCGAGGCTTTTTCTCTTCTTGAGGGAGAAGCTGCGCTGTCCCTTTTCCTCCACAGGACTCAATAGTCCACGTGAATTTGTTGTGTCTCATCCATAACTCCATGGACCCCATGAGGTCCTCAGGCCCGGGGTCCGCATCATGTACAAATAATTTACTATAGTCTCAACAAATAATCATACACATGTGAATAGATCTAGAAAAGATGTGTAAGATGTCAAAAAAACTATAAAACTTTATTGACATATATTAAAGAAGCCCTAAATAGAAGAGGTATGCATGCTGATCAACAATTGGAAGACTCTGTATATTGATTCACAGATTCAGTGCATTCCCTCCTAACCACCTCTCCCTCCAAAACATCTCTGTAGTTTTTCTTAGGTGGAAATTGATAGATTGAGTCTAAAATTTATACAGAAATGCAAAAGATACAGGAAAACTATCAAGATCAAAATTGGAGGACTTACCCACTGGGTATCAAGAGTCAGTACAAAGTTAAATTTGGAAGTAGTGAAAAGATGTACAAATAAAACAATGGAACAGAACAGAGTCCAGAACAGACCATGCGTACATCAACACTAGGTTTATAACAGACTTGATGCCTAGTAGCCCTGGAGGAAGGATGGTCTTTTTTCAAAAATGGTACTTTAGGACTCCCTGGTGGTCTAGTGGCTAGGATTCGGCGCTTTCAAAAATGGTACTTTGTCAGTTGAATATCCAGATGGAATAAATAAATCTTGAATCTCTGATGTAAACAGTATCTCACATTCTTCGCAAAATTAATTTCAGGCTTGTTGAAGATCTAGATGTAAACTATAAGACAACCAGGTTTTCCGGAGATCACATGAGAGAATAATCTTTATGAGCTTCAGGTACAGAATGATTTCTTATCTTATGACTGGTAAAATGAAATACATTAAAATTGGTAACTTCTGTTCATCAAAAGACACCTTTAGGAGTGTAAAAAGATAAACCATTGATGGAAGAGGATGCTGCCATATACATAACCAACAAAAATATTCATGTCTAGAAATTCCTACAAAACAACCAGAAAAAAAAACAAAGACAATTCAATACAAAAAAAAAACAGGAAAGAGACCTGAACAGGAACTTTATAGAAGAGTTAACACGTGAAGAGATACTCAATCTCATTAATTACTAGGAAAGTGCAAAGTAAATAAAAATGTGAGGTTGTAGAGGATCAGAAAGCCAGACTGCTGTGAAAGGGTAAATTAGTACAGTCATTTTGGAACATTCATTGGCGATATCTACTAAAGCTGATGTTCATGGGGCTTATGAGGCAGGAACATGACTCCAAAGAATATACGTAACAGAGTAATGTGTTTATATATGTGTGTGCACCAAAACACATGAAAAATGTTTGACATTTTAAACAAAATGGTTCACTTTTTTAAAATCCCAAATAAAATAATACCATGGAATTATATTTTTAAATAATCTTTTTTATTGCTTGTAGTAGGGCTTTTTTGCTAGATTCCCAAAAAAGGTTATGACCTAGGAGGTTAATAAAATAAATAGATTTTAAAAAATAGTTAAGCCCTAGCTGACATAGCTCAGTGGATTGAGCGCGGGCCTGTGAACCAGAGTATCGTGGTTCGATTCCCAGTCAGGGCACATGCCTGGGTTGCAGGCCAGTTCCCAGCAGGGGACGCATGAGAGGCAACCATACATTGATATTTCTCTCCCACTCTTTCTCCTTCCCTTCCCCTCTCTCGAAAAATAAATAAATAAAATTAAAAAAAATAGTTAAGAACTTTTGCTAGAAAGAGATAAAGACATACTGTAATCTAAACTATTAGTCTAGTCCACTAGTAAGGCAAAGCTCAAGAGCACACTTTTAAAACATCTATTTGTAACTGTCCATGGATACTTTATAGAAGGAAAATAATAAATAACAATACCTTGAGTACTGAATCCTCTGGGCAGGAAGCTCCTTTAAAGTGAAGTCATGACATTAAAAACAAAACAGAGTAATTCATAAATCTGGTGAAGTAGAGTTAATGGGATCTTCCCCCCAGTCATCCTTCCAGCAGGTGACCAGGAGAAAAGTCATCTCCTTATACACCCTCTATCTATACGTAACTAGAGGTAATGAGGCTAACAGTGTGCAAAACCCTAAATTCTGTAAGCTTTCTAGCGTAAGCTCCTAGCCACCCAATTCTGAAACCTTTCCCCATTTTAGAGACACAGTCTCTTCCTCATCCAAGTCTCCTCTCCTTGATCAGTATGGTAAAGGACAGGTTAATGAATATATTTTAATACACTTATGCATGCATTTTAGTCAAAATTTTTCAGCTAAAAAAGTTACTTCAACTAAACATTTACATTTTTAGGCAGAGGGAATTTTAGGTACTGTCAACTGGGAGATAACTAGGAAAAAACAGAAGTAATCCTGAAATCACATTATGCAAAATACTGGCCCAAAAGGCCAATGTTATTTAATGTCATCAGGATGACTGGGGGTTAGATAAGATGGACAATGGAAGCAATAAGAGAGATGACCTCCAATGACCAGCCTTTACTTTCCAAGGGAAGATGTGGTGGGAGCTAATCTGGCTGTAACTACAAAAAATATACATTCTTAAATATTGGCATTGGCCAGCGTAGTAGTAGGTCTGAGCTCATTTTAAGTGTCAGACTCATCTATCTTAACACAATTCTTCTAGGGGCACCTTTCTGCTTAAGATGTTCTATAACTTCAATATAAATTGTATTCCTTCCCATAAACTTTTTAATACTTCCAGATGTATATTCCATCTTTCCAATACATGTAATTTTGTTTTATTTAACTCTTTATGTTATCTTTCCATCTTTCCTTCCTCTGAAGCTCTGGAACATACAGCAATGTCTCATTATTTCTACCTCTGATAATGGGATTTCTGACAACAAAGTGTGTCCCTGGAACACATCCTCTTCAGTACCAGCAGAATAGATATTTTGAAGAAGAGTAAGATACAAGTACAGCTTGGATCTGTAGGTGAAGGAGATAAGTGATAAAACAGGACAGAAAAAAATAAAGGGATACAAAATGTGAATATTGTAGAAAAATTAGTTACTGCTCTACATTTCCATGTAAAGCCTTACTGAGTCTATTATAAAATTTAAAAAATCAGGATATTAAAAGAATTCATAATCGATGACTTATGCAAAATGTTACAACTTTATGATTAATATTTATACTCTATCACCCTTACCAAAGAAAATTAAAAGGAGCTATTATTCAGCTTATAATCTAGATTCAACCATTAAGATGGTCTCAGTATTGCTTCCTCCCTTCCTCCAGAGAGCTCTCCGCAAGTCAGGTCTGCCCAATTGAACTCGATAGATTTTTTTAGTCTGGATACATCTCATTGTTGTTGGAGGTCATTAAATGATGCCTCCCAGTGCAATGCCATTAAACTTAGAGTGAATTTTGTTCAGAATGAAGCCATTATACTGACTATAACAATTATGGTTGATAACTAAATTTGTGACATAGATCATGACCCTAGATACAAAAACATGTATCAAAAATAGAGGAGTATGGGAATCTAATGAACAAACTAAACTAATGAGCAAAATATAACTAGAGGCTTAGAATCATGAACAGACTGACAGCTTTAAGAGGGGAGAGGGGGGGAGGTGGGGACTGATTCAAAGAAGGCGAAGGGATTAGTCAAGAACCTACAGAAGGACCCAGGGACTTGGACAAGTGTGAATGACGATGGAAGGAGGGGTCGTGGGCTGGGTAGAGTGGGTAGAAGGAGGAAAAAGTGGGGCAAGTGTAATAGCATAAATAATAAAATATAAAAAATAAAGTAGGAAGACAGACTGTAGAAAAATAGAGTAGAGATGAAGAAAAATAAGTTTATCAAACTTTTCACAAAAAAGATTTCAGGGATATACTGTTCTAAGAGATAGAAGCGTCTGAGAAAGAAAACACTGAGAAAAAATGGGGAAAAACAGAGAGAGTAAGGGACAAGTACAGAGTTCAGTGGGACTGCTGTGTTTACATATAAAACTTGTTAAAAGGTTTGGGTAATTTTAGGAAAAAGTCTAGTATAGCTATAATTTCGGAATCGAATCGACAAGATTGATTTTTTTCATAGTGAACGGAAAACCAACAGTCCTGTAGGAAAGTGGAAAAATACTGAAACGCCAGCGAAATGCAAGCAAGGAAAGCATCCACTACTTTCGTCCCTTCCTTCCAGTCAATTTTTCCAAGGAGCTGGACCGCTCCTTCAACACCATAAATCACAACCTAATCTCAGAGGAGGAGCTGCTACGATTCTGCCTACTTCGATGTCACTAAGGGACGTACCAGTTGGATATATCGGCAAGCCACATCTCTGGCTTCCCTTCCACCTCTTCATTTAAAAAGATGAAAAGCCAGAGCTGGTCATGCGCTCCCACCCAGGGCCTCAGTAAAGGCACTGGACACAGGGGACCCCAGCCCAGTTTAAGGTGCAATCTCGCCAGTTTTCCCCCCGGCTCACCCAGCAGCGGCTAAGCAAACAGGCGGGCTCCGTAGAGGAGAGGGAGAGGTTGCATTCACAACCAGAGATAGCCACGGGAGCCCCGCGTTCAGCAAGGAGTCCCTGGTGCCGGACCGCTGCCCTGGTGTGCTTCTCACGCCGACGGTTTGTATTTGGAACAGCGGGTCTAAGCCCGCCAAGCACCGCGGCAGGACCGTCAAAGCTGCTGGCTCCCGACAGCTCCACGATTTCTCGCTGCAGATTCCACACCCTGTTCGCCCCGACCCCTGAGGACGTTGACTCTGCCGAGAGCCTTCTCGACGGCGAGTCCGAGCCCAAGCGGCAGAACAGCACTTGGCCTAGTTTTGATGCTCAGAGTGGCTCGGGATGCGAAATGAGGAAGCAAGGAATTTATAACGAATTGTAAACAACGGGAATAAACTTTTTTTCCTTTAAGGCTCACACCCCCGACGTCACTTCCGGCAACAATAGGAAACGTCAAACTCGGACAGTCCACAGCCCTAGCTGCTGCAGCTGGAGGTGGGCTCAGTTTGGAGGAATACAGTGCTGTTTCTGGGATTCTCGCCGCCGTCACTTCCACTGGCGTGAACAAGTAAAGTTTGAACCAGCTTCTTCATGGCCTGGGCACCAGTTCCCGGCTGAGCCATTTTCTTTTTGGCTAAAAGCCCCCGCCAAAGGACCGATTCGTCGCGGCGGCGGTGGGGATCGCAGGTCGCTCAGGTACAGGCCTCAGCCTAGCTATTTCAGAGCTCTTTCCTCTTTTCCCCCATACACCCCTACTTTTCTTTTCGGAAATAAAGATAACCGGTGCTTGCCAGTTGGCAGAAACTTGCCAACCAGCGAGAGTTTGGGGCCAATGACAGTGCAAAGCAACTTGAGTGACAGTGGTGATGGCTTATTGAAATGAGGACTCAGTGTCGGGAGGCGGGAGTAGGTGTGTTTCTTGTGTTTCTAGGCCACTGGGGTAGAAGGTCAGCTTGGGACCCCAGATAGTGACTAGGTTTCAATCTGAAATAAAGCCGAGAAATGTCAAAGATTAATCTTTTCTAACCCAAGGTGTTGTTTTTCAAGCAAAATGCGGGGAGGGTGTGCAGAGACACAGTTTTCAGTTCTTTGCATTTTCAGTGATATGAATGCAAGCAAAGTTAAGGTCATGATAAATTGCCAGTTGCTTCAGTTTTCAAACTTTGGTTATAAATTTGGCAGATTCTTAGTCTGTCCTTTCTTTTCTCTGTGACTCAGCTCTAGTTTCTTACATGGGGGGGTGCTCAATTAAATATTATTAATTGGATGAGATTACACATTAATGATTCCTAATCCTCATTTAAGTATTTGATGGTTGTTTCATTTTTAAGTTCTGTATGTATTTAGTAACTTAATAATTAAGCCTACTTGTTTTAACAAGCGGAATTTATATTTTCAGGGTTCTTAGATATTTCTCTCCAAATTTCCAATATCATGACCTTTACTACTGGAAGGTGGAGCTAATTTATGTATTCCATTTCAGCTTTTCTTCTATTTATGTTTGGCGTTTAGTAACCTTATTTCTTAGGTAGAAGGGACCTGCCCTCCCCCAACCCTGGCCTAAGAAAACTGGTTTACGAAATTGAACTGAATGAAGAATAAATTTTATTCTATTTTTTTCAGTGTGAATAGGAAACTTCTCATTTTTATGCAGTAAACTTGACAATTTGCCTGATGAGATACTGTATTAGTTATCTATTGCTGAGTAACAAACCACCCCAAACTTTGGCTGCTTAAAGCAATAGATGTTTATTATGTCAAAATTTTGTGGGTCAGAAATTCATGCACAACTTAATAGAGCACCTTTGGCTCATGTTCTTTCATGCAGTTGTAGTCAAACTGTATCTTGGGGTTGAGATCTCACTTGCAGATTCTACTGAGGGGTGTAGAAGGATCCACTTTTAAGTGCACTCACCTGGTTATTTTCAGTTTATTAAAATATTATTTTGTCAAAACAAATGAACAGATAACATCTTAGTGATTATTCACTGTGGTATGAAGTTGCATATGTTATCTCATTTAATACAGCAGCCGTTTGAGCAAAAGTATTATTTCCCACATTACATATGAAGAAACCGAAGCTTAGAATAGTCAAGTAAGTCTCCCCCAAGATCCTGTAAGTAATAACCAGTGGAGTGAGGATTTTAACTCTGTTCTACCACATGGGTTTCCCCCATAGCGCTGCCTCACCGTATAGCAGCTGGCTTCAATCTAAGAGAGAGTACCCAAGACTGCATAGTCTTTTGTAGCATAATCTCAGAAGTTTATCTCATTTCTACTGTCGTATTCGACGTTAGAGGTGGGTTAATAATCCATCCCAAAATCTGTCTGGAGAGGATTATACAAGAGCATAAATCCCAGGATACAAGGATCTTTGGGGGTCATTTTAGAGGCTGCCTAACACAGATATGCTGGCTGATAATGGAGCAGAAATACAGTCAACAGAAATGCAGCCAGAGAAGGAGGAATGCCAGACTGTAAAGAAATAAACTTGTATAAGCCCTATCTCTCTTGGAAAACTCCCCTCTGCCCCCATTTTTTCTTCCCCCTACTAATTGTCTGAAGGGAGGCTGCTTATTTTGCTTGGGAAACCGCCTGACAGATATGGGTGACAGGAAAGCTTGTGTTTTTAGGGTCTACGTGAGCAGACGCCCTTGCCGCTGGAGGTTGTGTGTATTCCTCACCCATGGCCATTTTATGTGGTTGAAATTATATCAAAACAAACACGAGCAAAGATAGCTTTTAAGGAGGAAAGAAGTTAAGAAAGGGTAGAGGAAAGCCTTCTGGAGTAGAAAGAATCCAGGTCAGCGGCAGTCTTTGTGTTGGTCTGAGATCAGACGGGTGGGACTGGTCTTAGAGTGGAAATGTGTCTTGTGTGTCTGTTTTTTAGCATAATTAGGTGGCAGGTACCACCTTTTCCAGCATTACTTGGATGCATGTTGCCAGCACAGCTTTCGTTAGTCAGGTTTAGTAGAAATTAAAAGTATAGGCTTTGGAGTTTTTTGTGACACTATTTTGGCTGTGACCCCACTGTAAAATTGCCTGTGCTTCTTCCGAGTTTGGAATGTAGTAAATCCTTATCTGTTACTAAAGTGTTATTGAAGTTAATCTTTTATTCCTCAGGGGCTCAATACTAGCTTGATTGTGTCAATTCTCAGATTGTAAATCTGGCTTTTAAATTGGGGCTCCCTATCAGGTTAACATACTTCATTTATGGTAATTTGGGGCAATGGCTGCAAAACTTTAAATGTTCTTAACAAAAGAACACAGTTGAAATACACCCACAGAATGTATTATCGTAGTCACTTTTAGGTAAGCTAAAGTATGAACTGTAATTTATTATATATGATGAGTTTAATAGGGAATGTTTTGTTTATTGTGCTTTTTGTAGACTAAAACATTGAACTGCCAGAGATGATCTTTTCTTTGATCACAGTACATTGAAATTAGTAATTCAAATTTATTTTATAGTTAATTACTAAACCAACTGTGATATACAGCTATCTATTTTTTCTACATTTTATTTCAAATGTGGAAACTGAAGCTAATCCCTTGGCTTGCCTGTGATAATGCATTAAAGTCATTAATATTGAAAGTCTACGAAATATACATCTGACTCATGATATTTTTTTAAAGATTTATTTATTTTTAGAGAGAGGGGAAGGAAGGGAGAAAGAGAGGGAGAGAAAGATTGTTACATCTATCAGTTGCCTCTCACACACCCCCAACTGGGCTCCTGGCCAGCAACGCAGGCCTGTGCAGGCCTGTGCCCGGACGGGGAATGTAATGGGCCAGTGTAACCTTTTGGTTCTCAGGCTGGCACACAGTCCATTGAGTCACACCTGCCAGGGCTCATGCTTTTTCACTGAACTATTTTACTTACCATTTAGAAAAAGATTTTATTTTTTTATTTATTTTAGAGACAGGGGAAGGTAAGATGAAATAGTGTGAGAGAAACACGAAATGGTTACTTCTCCCTCGCACCCCAACCCGAGCATGTGCCCTGACCCGAATGGAAGCAGCAACCTCTGGCTTTGTGGGTCAACACAACCTACTGAGCCATGCTGGCCAGGGCGTATTTTACTTAAGATTTTACAACTTTGACATCAGATATCTGCTTCTAGAAATTTATATTCCCTGCGTCTTTATTTTTCCACATTATTTTGTTATTTTAACAAGTTTTCTGACACAGATTCTACAATAATACTAAATAATACTAAAATGTCCTGACTTGAGTTTACGTAATATATGGGGCAAGTAGTTTTGTGATATACAGATAAGAAAAGATATTTGTGGTTTTAAATTTAGGCAGCAGGTTTAGAGAGTTTAGCTCTGTGATCAGCAGTTTGCATATTGTTCAAGAATAGGCTGCATAAGATTCCATAAGCTGTTTGAAAAAGGAAGTAAGATTTGAGCAAGTGAGCCATGCTTGCAAAACCCCTGTCTGCTCGTAGTGATATGAAGTCATGAAAGAGAGATGGAGAAGACAGATGCTAAATACACATAAACACACATACACACATCTGTCTCCATCACCTCTTCATTTTACCTTTTTAAAATTTTCCCACTCTTTTTATTTTTATAGAATCATAGAATTTTATAGCTAAAAGACCTTAGGGATCATCAAGTTACAAACCCTTGTAATACAGACAAGGAAAGTGACACTTTGAAATTTAAGTGACTTGCCCAATACTTATAACTACTTAAGGAGCCTGGCCCCGGCCAGTTTGGCTCAGTTGGTTGGAGTGTCATCCCATAACCAAAGGGTTGTGGATTTGATACCTGCTCAGGGCACATACATAGGTTGCAGGTTCAGTCCCTGGTCCAGGTGCTTACAGGAGGCAACCAGTTGATACTTCTCTCTCATATCAATGTTTCTCTCTCTCTCCCTTCCTCTCTCCTTTCCTCCCTCCCTAAATGCAGTGAAAAAATGTCCTGGGGTGAGGATTTTAAAAAAAGAAAGAAAGAAGGAGCTTGAATCAAATTCATGTTTTGTTTCCTTCTTTATTATTAGGTGTTTTGTTCTGACTTGCCTCCTATTTTGGGTTTCCCTCAATACTCATTTTATTGTAATACGTTGTTTGGTTTGCATAAAAGTAATTCAGTGAGAATTACAGGGTTTTTTTAATGCCACAACTCTCATAGGAATGGCCACTGTGGTTGGTGGGCCTGGAGTGTGTGATATGTTCGGAGGAGGCGGGTTGGGATATGCAGCTGCTGATTATAATTAGGTCGAACGAACAGTTCAGTAAGAGCCAGTGTAATTAAAAATACTGCTAGTGAGAAATATGATAAATGCATTTCATTTAAAAGTTAAAACAGGGAACATTTTTTTTGCAAAA